ATTTAAATTTTAATAATATACAGAGGAGCTTCACTGACCTATTCGAATATTAAAACTAATATGCTTTTCTACACCCATTGATATAACTTGAAATAGTTTTACTGCAATTCTTCAATTTGGGATTCAAAATGGATATTCTCCACAACGTTCAATGTTAACAATTATTGCCAAACCCAGAAGACGTGATTATCTATAACAATGTAATGTTTCATAAAATATTTAACTTACTGCAGCGGCGGTGGGGTAGCCTAGTGGTTAAAGCGTTGGCTCGTCACGCCAAAGACCTGGGTTCGAATCCCCACGTGGGTACATTGTGTGAAGCCCATTTCTGGTGTCCCCCGCCGTGATTTTGCTGGAATATTGCTAAAGCGGCGTAAAACCAAACTCACTCAGTCAGTCAGAAACTTACTGCAGATTAAGTATATGTATTGTAATATATTCTGGCATACTATGGCTACTTTAATTCACAAGGAGTGATCTGTTTTCCCGCAGCGGTATTCACAGAATCTTACCAGCTCGATGTTGTCACATAAACCTCGGGTTCTAACAAGTTTAATATTTCACGATGTACATGGACTGCTTTACTCTCTCTAAATAGTCTCAAACACCATTGCTTCGTATGCTCATTGGGGAATTATCACAAACCCAAATGATAATTATCCGGTCATCATAGTAGTCCGTGACTGTTCATATCACTGATCTTATCTACAAGCTACTTGACAAACACCATTACGGGAAATATATCCTTATCACTTCCTTCTATTAATTCTTACAACATAAATGTATGGTGAGTGGAAATGTTCTCGTACGACGTTGCTCGGGAGAAAGAGTGACTTTAGTTTCACGCCGCTGTAAATAATCGAGTCTGGACAAGACAATTCAGTTATCAACAGCATGAACATCGATCTACGCAATTGGGATAAGATGACATGTGTCAACCAGTGAACCTGACCATCCGATCCCGTTAGTCGCCTCTTACAACAAGCATGGGTTACTGAAGTTCAATTCTAACCCGGATCTTCACGGGTCCGGAAGAAAGAAGACGGTCCTGTGAATACTACGGAATTGCCAGGCTAATATGTAGTTTCTGAAATGAAAATAACATACCGGGAAAACAGTCTTAAATTACTTTAATGACATATGATATAAAGGAGCTCAGAGACCTATACAAATGGGCAGAGCTATAATTGCTTGGAATTTCGCAATAGCGCTATGAACTGTAGATATCGGAACTTACGACATATTTGTTCCAGGCAGTGTCAGTGTTGGATACATTTGTTGCAGGGTCTGTAGACAGATTAGGGAATTGCAAATGTGGGGAAATGTCTGAATGTATGTTGTCACAAGGTAACTCTTGGGAAAGTTTATGTTCGAAAGATTTGACTGATAAGTTCTGAGCCTCACACAGAAGGAATTGTGTGGAAGCTTTTGGATCGGCCATTACAGGGCAGCACAGAGGTATATTAACGAAAATGGTAGCATTGCAACAAACCGTTTCTCTGTGACATGTCCGTGAAAAAAAGGTGTCGATCACATTTTGCAAATGGAAAGCCTTGAGGAACTTAGCAATCAATCTTCATATTGTGTTCCTTCGTAAGAGCGCCATTCTACATGCCTACTCAAAAACACTGACGTATTGCCATAGGCATTTGACTAGAGAGATGAAATGCCAGTGCAAGTTGTTCGAAGGGCAAGACGTATACTGACGTAGAAAAAAATTGCTTTATGAAACTTACGATTAAGGCGTAAAACTAATGTCATTTGCCTGTACCAACGCTTAGTCTCTGAAAATATATTCCTTCACAAAACAAGTGCCTTATGTAGTTATGTAGAGTGGGAACGACAACTTGAATGACATTGCAGTTGATTCCATGACAGCAGGAATATATTGTCATTTTTCATTCGTAACCACGGTAACGTCGAAGACCCGGGTTCAGTTCCTGGCATGGCACTAATCCTTGCCGTGATGTATTTGGCCACTGAACTTTACCCAAAACGGCATAAAATCATATTCATTCACACTTAACTGTATGAGTTCACGGCGAAGAAGCCAAAGGTCTGTATAGCCTTAAATAGTAGTGGAACGGAAGATTATACTGACAATGTATAACACTGCACGTATCCCAGTTACATTATTGACGCCGTGTTACAGGACGTCCGTCCGTTCTGACCACCTTCGTGGAACCAGGATGAATGATGAATGACTTTCAGGGAACGTCGGAGAAGTGCACTGCCCAATCCCACAAAATGTGTGAATCTCAAATATCACAATTTAAAAACAAATAAGACAGACTTTTCGACGTGCACCCTTATCATTACCAAAAGAACTTTTTGTCTTTGAATGCCCTTTCACACATAAGGGATAGAATTGATTTGGATATCAACTTCATTTTAGTGAGAAACACAACGTTTTGGGTATAAGGTGATTTCATCAGGTTGACGCAAAAAAAATAAGCTTTTGGTCTTTACTGTGTACAATGCCTGATTGACGATGGGTAATATGTAAGCTGATTGAGTACATCATAATCGCTGTTAAAACATGTTAATACTAACACACAAGTTAGATATATAGACCCTACTTACACAGGAACAACAAAGAGTGGTAGGCCGTGAAGAGAAAATACAAAACTGTTTTGACAGAACGCGACAATTTAAACACTTAAAGCAACGACAGTTGTATTGGTGAAGCACATTGGTTTAAGCATACTTGTATTCCTGACTAAATCCGCGTCGGTAAACAAGCAAAACTTGCTTATGTAAATACCTCTCCTGGTAATGAGTTGAGAACGGTTGCTGTTTGTACTGGATAATGCTGAACATAATCTAATAAATATGGAATTCGTTAAGTAAAAGGGTGGAGGCTCTAAACAGTTCAATGAACACAACATGTATCAGAATAAAAATATCAATTCCTGAAAGAAACTTGACCAAACTTTCCAGAAACCGAATACGTTGATGCATTAATGAGTGTAATATTTAAACTTGATCACGGAAAAAGTAAAAACATTTTAGTTTTATTGAATCTTTGAATGACATTTAGAAGAATTACACTTAAATCGTGGTGAATTTGTTTATGTTTGTCATACTGAGTTTACAACCTTATTCGCTTTTGTACTTAAAACGTAGCCTGTCCATTTATGCTCCAATATTGTGTTTGAAGTATTTTATTAACTTCCGCTTTTTCAGTTTCATTTTAATCCGTTGTATTCAGGCGGATTTTACCAAAGGCTTCACGACTACACTTTCTAGTACCCACCTGATCCAGTCCCTCCCCACCCCTCACCAGGAGCCCCGGACCACCTGGTACCTATTGTAGTCTAGGAACATGTACCCCCAAGGCATTGTCCCTTTCAATCTGACCCCTGACCTCCCCCTGTCCATCAGAATGTTTACTGAGGATGATAACAAAGGCCCGATGGCTGTGACGAGACCGACTTTGTTGTGGGGATGCCTGAATCTGTGGAACGTAGGGACGCTGCATGAATGATACAATGACCGTACGTCTAATCTGGCTAGCCGCGACTGTCATTTTAGACCTTGGGTGATGAATCGTGAGGATGAGTATAGTGAGCTGTCTCTTTTGACTTTAACTTTCCTCTCCCTGGTTGACTTCGGATGCGTTTGGCTTTCAATCTTCTGGTTGATATTCGCATTAAAGAGTCAGGACCAATCATGAATTTACGTGTACTGATTATAGCAGTATTAATATTGTTTTAAGGGTTTACTTTAATTGTTATGTAGTAATGATTGGGAGTGGTTGTATACACGTTGCAAAAGTATATCCAACTTCGTGAATGGAACGTTGATTTAACAGTGATTTTAAGGGGCTTTGGTTTTGTAACACGCGTAATCTTACTTAGAGTTACTTCCCTTGTATAGACACTTGTTGATTAAATACTTTATGAAGGCTTTAAGCAATGCGATTCTTACTTCGAATCATACTTCATCGTTCCAAATTCTATAAACTTATTGATGTTGAAGTTATACATCGGATGGGATATGTAAATGTGATTTAAACATATTTTATTCATTGAATGGATAAGGACTGGTGAACAATCTCTTCGGCTTATGTGAACATCGCTCCCATACAACATAACATATATTACAAAATGGAAATATGTACTTGAAAATCATTATGAGCTTTACCAGAAAGCGATGCAGATTTCAGGATCGCGAATATAGCAAAAAGAAAACGAAAAGTATTTTATATGGAATGCATAATTAATTTCACATCTTATGTGCAACATTTTATCAATTTGTTTTTAATTCTAATAAGGAAATCTCTTGTTTGTATCTCATACATAGGGCTGAACCTAGTTGACATCGGCAAGGATAGATTTGCGTATTGCCGTTGCTGTCGTTGACCTGGTTATTAATGTGGAACTTACATGCCATATTAAGGATTCCTTTGTTATCATTTCGTATGCAAGATGTTTGGTGACACGTGGGATAACCCATGGCACTTCACGCCCCCCTCCCGTCGACATTGTTAAGTACAAGAGGCTTGTCAGTATCTTGCTTGTCGCCTCAAACTGTTATCTTGTCAGTTTCTGACACGTTGTCAGTTTTAACGAGAGAACGTTTCCACATTTGTTTTACGAGTCTATTTTGCAACCCTCCTCATATGAATTTAATTACATTTACACAGTAATGTATGTGTAAAATTAATAATCTGTAATGTTTGGATAATGTGAATTTTATAGTCCATGAATGTGGGTTTTTTTAAAATTAATACTAAAAATAATCTTATGAAATATATGGCATTGTTTTATGATTAATTCAAAATTTACTGTGAAATGTGTTAAAAAAATTCCACTTGTTTACCAGCAGTCCCCGCTTTTGTCAATTGTGACGTCACAGAAGGCCAGCCAGTCCCAGTTGACAGAGACTCGCCCACACTGGTGACATCACAGGCTTCGTGTCAAAGGTCACAGTGTCGAAATCTCTTTCCCAACTTGCAATATCTCACACAATAATAAAGTTAAACCTTCACATTGCAGACGTAGTACACCGGACCAAGGACAAAGCCCCGGATAAAGACTTTCAGTCTCAGATTTAACACAGAAGAACAATGTCTCAAACCTGAGCGCCGATCAGGGGTATACACACGCTCACTGCACCCAGCCCGTAAACATAACTCAGAACGAGGCAAAGCGAAAGGGCTGGATCGTCGCCCAACTTGAGAAGTTGAGAACTTTTAATACAAGTACCCGTGTTCTTTTCGACATAGAGAGGGATACTTACTAAAACAGAAAGAAAGAGGCATCGAGGATGTAAGTATTAATTGACAATATATTTCTATGTCGATTGCATCAGGTGATATGTTGGTGTCACCCACCTGTTGGTGATCTACCTGTGTTCTGTGTCCTAAATTCTCTGACAGCGCTGTACATGGCTGAACCCGTGGGAAAACACGCGACAGGGCTAGCTGATCTGAACATAGTTCGCTCAGTCGCTGTGGAACGCTGTTTGTTTCGTTTATAACAGTATATTTAGCGGTGGCCACTTGTGACAGATATTTTTCAGACTTACAGATATTGTGAATGTACGTTTGACAACCACACATTGAGGGGAGCTATGTCACAACAGTGTAATTTAAAGGCACGCACCGCTCGTATACCTATACAGTAATCCTTCGGACGTTTATAATGTCGTACAAATGAAGTTTTAAATAGATTGAAAAATATGAATATGTGTTAGTTATATATTACACTCCTTTCATCGACATTTATTTATTTATTTATTTATTTATTTATTTATTTATTTATTTATTTATTTATTTATTTATTTATTTATTTATTTATTTATTTATTTATTTATTTATTTATTTATTCATTCATTCATTCAGTCAGTCAGTCAGTCAGTCAGTCATTTATTTTTTCGTCTGCATATTTAGTTACTTTTGCCACTAGTTATCACCTAATTTCCATTACTATTGTATAATTCACCACGGTTACTCTCAATGTACAAATAGTCTGTATTGTGTAATAAAAACGCAAACGTTCGTATTTGTAAGGATTTCTTTGTTGTGGTGCAGACCATGCAAATCCCGGACGTGAAGCAGCTTTTCACTTAATCCACTGAGCTCCAGCTTTTGCTGTTCTCGTAAAGTGGTTTTACTTCCCCTTATAGGCGGACATAGTCGGTCTCGTCTACCAGTTGCCTATGTCATCGGCAGGCATTGTTACTCTAAACCACGTGTTAACTCCGCTAATGACCCTTATCCTGTACAATACGCTGTGTGTGGACGTATGTATGTGACGTGCTAATGGTCAGCTGGTTGTATATACATGTGTTATGATCATTGCAAAACTGACCAGCAAGAAATATTAGTAGCAAACACGGAGACGAAGTCGTAGCAATGTTTTGTATATATGTTATGTTATATGTTTATCTGTTGTGTAAACGCGCGAAGAAAATTTATCAGCATGTTGTAAGTTGCCTTTACACAAATACACAATGTGGAATAGCATAACGTAATATAAGCCTATACGAAATCTTAACACAGAGAGAGAGATATACACATGCATACATGCATGCATGCATACATACATACACACACACACACACACACACACACACACACACACACACACACACATACATACATACATACATACATACATACATACATACATACATACATACATACATACATACATACATACATACATACATACATACATACATACATACATACATACAATGGAAACCGCCTAAGTAAAGACCGCTTAACTAAACAGACTGGATAAGTAAACACTATTCTTTGGTCCTGGCAAATGTCTTCATTAATTATCACTATTATAGTCTGGTTAACTAAACTCGGATAAGTAAACAATACCGCTTAACTAAACGTCTTCTCACGGTCCCTGGAAGTAAATTACTTAAGAAAAGAGACTGGATAACTAAATTAGCGATCACCACATAATCCGACATGAGGGTGCACGTGTCAGTCTCCAGCTAAACAAACATCGGAATAAGATCAATTGGAAAAAATGCTTGTTTATTTCATACACACACACACACACACACACACACACACACACACACACACACACACACACACACACACACACACACACACACACACACACACACACACACACACACACACACACATACACACATACATACATACATACATACATACATACATACATACATACAAACATACACAAACAACAAAAAACCACCCATCCATAAACAACCAGCCCACCCTAATGAATAAAAGGACCAATTGGGCATTTCTTTATAAACAAATAGCACGAGAAAACGATGCAGATATAGGTTCCATATACTAAACGCCATGTTGTCTCTTTAGACACTTCCATAACAACATCAGGCGTAAGAAAATGTCATTACCGAGACCCCTAATACTCGCCCCGTTGTCAGGCCCTTTCAGACTCTTACTTGGTGGGGATAAGCGGCAACAATCCATCTTATCGGGATCGGATTTAGGGGTTTTACTAGTAACCTGTTTTCATGGGCGGCACCCAACCATCATTTGTCACGCAGGTCTATTTTCACAGTCGTGCTCCTATCTATCGTATAGCCTCGGGGAATAAGTGGTCAGGAAGTGACAGGTCACTGCAGATTCGTTGTAGTCAGCTCAGGAAGCCGTGGGTCTAGTTCCAGCAAGAACTGGCCCCTTAAATTTTGTTCCTTGATGTCATTATTGCACTGTTTGAAAACCGGCTTTAATACGTGCATTTAAAAAATCCGTGTAGATCTGTATGTAGACGAGGGTAAAATTTAAACTGAGTGAGTGAGTGAGGTTTTACGCCACTTATAGCAATATTCCAGCAATATCACGGTGGGAGACACCAGAAATGGGCTTAACACATTGTACCCATGTGGGGAATCGAACCCGGGTCTTCGGCGTGACGAGCGGACGCTTTAACCAATATTAACGGTTATTCCTTGTATTCTTGCTCGAAATGGTGTGTGTGTGTGTGTGTGTGTGTGTGTGTGTGTGTGTGTGTGTGTGTGTGTGTGTGTGTGTGTGTGTGTGTGTGTGTGTGTGTGTGTGTGTGTGTGTGTGTGTGTGTGTGTGTGTGTGTGTGTGTGTGTGTGTGTGTGACTTCAGACCTATCTCTCCCCGATAATTCCGTTTAACATCCTGCTTGTTGCTCACATGCCCATACACATACAACGGAAGATTTATATCTCCCATGTTATATTCATATCATTTCCGAATAATGTGCTAACATGATAGTTGATTCAGTTTCCGTCATAAAATGATTAAGTGTTGCTTCACAAGGACGTTTAAATTCGTTCCGCAGAATCCAGTATCTTGTTACTGAAAGGTCACACCTATTTGCATGTAGTTCGGGTAATTATACACGAGGGCTAATAGTGTATGATCGATCATTAGCAGGGACTAATTGGTACAATGGTATTTGTGTATTCAATGATGTAAGCGAAATGGTGAACATTCCACGATGACTTCCAACACCGAAACCTTGTCTGGTGAAAACCCTTACGGATAATTTAACTACAGGTCTCTGTCATGTCGTAAGTATTTAGTTTCGTGATCTATGTGCTGATATATGTAGCTTGTATATTGTCACCCACAGCAGATTTGGTGTCTGAAACTGATATCCAATAAAACTGCGCTTGGTGGTTTATACATTTGTGAAGGGAAGTTGTGTGAAGCTTGACACGCATGCTCATCTAATTTGTTCATAGCTGAGAACTAATTTTAGAGACGATATCCACAATCGACTAATGTATTGGGCGTTAGTCCGGAGAACGAAGGGTACCTGGTTCTGATCCCGGTCTGGCCATACCAAAAGAGGGGCGGGGGGTTGGCCTAGTGGTTCAAGCGTTCGCTCGTCACGGCGATGACCCGGGTTCGATTCCCCAAATGGGTACATTGTGTGAAGCCCATTTCTTTTGCCCTCTGCTGTGGTATTGCTGGAATATTACTCAAAGCGGCGTAAACCCAACTCACTCACTCACTCATACTGAAAGACCTTAAAAGATGGTACTTGTTGTTGACCTTCATGGCGCTCGGTAATGAAGGATTGCATGAAGGATCACCTTACTTTTATGGCCCAGGAAATCGACGTATTTCCAGAGGCCGTAGCGATGTTTACGTGGTCTGCACAAACATCAACATCAAACAAAACGCTGTTTATAAACCCCATGTACGTTTGCTTAAGGCGAGTACACGATCTTATATCTTAAATGAAGCATTGTTGATATACCTCATACTCACTCAATCGATAGATATATGTTTGCAAAAGAGATTTAATGGTATTGACCCGGGTGCTGTATTACATATATATCGGTGAGCATTAAGCTATATACATCAGAATAACCAGTTATGACGTGATTGAACGACATATATATATATATCGTTTCAATAGGCTATTTACAATAGTTATTAGGATAAATTCATCTTCTACCTAGTCCGCAATCTGTTTCTAATGAACCGATTTTACCAAACTCCAATATTTGCATGCGATAAAGTCAATAAAAACGAATCATTCCTTGTTTTCCGTTTATCTGAAACGTTAGAATAGGTTCGAAAGACGGAGATTAGCACGGCGTTCAAGATTATTTTATGTTTTTGACGCTGGTATAGTCCGAACTTTATAGAACTAGTTTATAGTTTATTTTATACTACCCAGCAAAAGTTTAGACTCACTTAAAGCATTCACTATATGTTATGTATATATATATGGTTACATCGAAGATGAATTTCTCCCCTCACTTGGGGGAACCAACTGCAAACCTTATGCAGATGAATTGCATGAGGATCATGCATCAAATTGCTGAAAAGCATGACTGCAAATATCGTGCATGTGGACAGCTGCGTTTTGGTGTAAAGTTTTGTTAAGAATCACCAATTTTCATCGAGTTTCAGCATTTATTGAACTCATGACAATAATCTTTTCAACGTCATGATTTTGTTTTACAATACATCAGTTCATATGTAAACAGTACCTTTAAACATAAAGGAATAGTTTGCAAAATCTAGTTTAGAACAATTGACTGAAGTAAGTGGCAACATTTACACTAGTAAGTCTAAACTTTTGATGGGTAGTATAGTTTAACACGGATATACAGTATACATCCTCTGTCCGGACGGTCTTTGTTTAACCTTTATCAGGGCTCCACATAATTTTTCAACATCAGGAGTACGTAGTCCTTATTTTTTAAATATAGGAGTACTGGAAAACTTTTAGAGTACTGAATTGAATTTAATGGAGTATGTGATCTTATGTTTCGTTTCATATATACACCACAACATTGCTACTCTTGTGCG